AGATTTCTATAAACTTTTTGTATTGTTGCTCAAACTTCTGCTTCTTCAGCCTCTGTGGAAAAGGTATGGGAGGTTCATGAGGGTTAACGGTTGCCTTATCCTGTGATTTGCTCGGTTCTTCAGTTAGGATAGATTCCTTTATGTGCTCGTCATGCTTTATAGTCTCTTCAATCGAATGAGATTTTGTTTCTCAATTTACACCCGGCCTTTTTACATGTATCTCAGGTAGCTGCTTTCCACTTTGAGTTGTGATTGCCTTAGCATGTTCTTTCGGGTTTATTTCGATGTTACTTGGCAAACTGCCTGGTGCTCTTCCAATCAAAGCAACTGTCATCTGTCCCATTTGAGTCTCTAGACTTTTGATGGTTGCATTTTAATCTTGAAGAGTGGCCTCGATTTTCCTCATGAATTGATTATTGGCCTCCATGTACTGGTTAGTTTTCTCCATAAATTTATTGAACATCTCTTCCAATTGAGACTTTTTCTCTAGCTGCTTATATTGACCTTGTGGTCTTTTCTGGTTTTGGTTGCTCCAAGAGAAATTTGGGTGCTTTTTCCAACTCAAATAATATGTTTTCCCAAATGTTTTGTTTTTTGTTGTCGCTGTCCCCATTGAGCAAAATCTGTCTACTCTACTCATTTTACAAAGATTGGACATTCTGATATTACATGTTCTGCTCCACATTCCTCACAACTGGCCTTCTTCGACTGTGCGACATTGGCTTATTTTGACATGTTTTTCACCTTGTGAAATAATGAATCAATTTTGGCAGACACGGCAGAATAAACGTCTACTTTATAAACTCCCGGTGTCCTCTTCTGAACTGCTTGTTCCGATATTGATATAGCTGAAGTAGTGGCCATAGTCTCAAAAAGTTTCAGGGCTTCATCCATTGTCTTTGTGGATAGTGATCCATTTGATGACGAGTCGACCATGCTCTTGAAGTCTGGAAGCAATCCCACATAAAAGTATTGAACCTGGAGTCCCTTGCTAATCCCATGATGTGGACACTTCCGCAGCATATTCTTAAACTTATTCCAGGTTTTATCAAAGTTCTCGGAGTCACCTTGACGAAAGATAGATGTGTCATACTTGAGATTTGCAATCTTGGCGAGCGGGAAGAACTTGGTGCAGAATTTTTGAGTTAGATCATTCCATGTAGTGATGCTTGCAATTGGTTGCTAATCTAGTCATTTGATTGCCTTGTCGAGCAGTGTATGTGGGAACAACCTTAATCTGATTACATCCCTGAGATTCCTTGATATCTGAACTGTTGGCACATCTCTAAGAAGCGAGAGACGCGAGTATGTGGATTCTTTTTAGTTCTTCCATACAATTGATGCCCATTTTGAAATAGTTGTATCATGTTGGTCTTCAATTGGAAGTTAGGCTGTCCAAACGATAGATACACGATGCTTGACTGGCTTTGAATTATTTGAGCGATCATGAAATCTCTTACGAGCATATTTCCCTCATCCCCTGCCTCTTCTTCATTGGCCTGAAAAATTGAATTGTTCTGTATGTTAGCCATTTGTTGCTGTGCTCTATTTTCTCGCTGCATTCGATGTAAAGTTCGTTCGATTTTTTGATCGGCTGGGATCAAGTCTCCTTCAGTAAACCTTAACATGCAAATCTGCGAGAATAATCAATAGGAGTGCTTAGATGCTAAAATGAAATAATTAACAAAATAAATCAAAATAAAATGAAATAACCAAAAATTTGCAAAGATTTATGTTCGAATTAATGCCAATGTAAATAAAATTAAACGAATACTCAATCCCCGGCAACGACGCCAAAAACTTGTTTACGAAATATTTTCTTTCGATTTAATTCGCCATAAGTGTACGGTTCGTTAACAAATAATAAAGTGGAATTTAGAGGTCCGAATATCGTCCCATAGAGATTGAATAGTTCAATTTATTTGCCTTAGCCTTAACCGAAATGAAATTATCAAAATCGAAGTTTTAACAAAAGAAAACCCTAATTTCACAAACCCTAATTATGGAAAACCCTAATTTGACTAGAATGATTGTTGAATGATTGAAGATGCAAAACTATGTATCTAATTGAGTTTAAATGCAATGTGATAATTTGAACGCTAGTTGAATTTTACTTAATAAGAATTAAATTCACTAGGATCACGAATTCCAGTATAATGATCACTTAAAAATCATAATTTCACAATCTGACAACACGATTGAATTATTGACGAACCAATGCTCCTAAATCTATCCAACACATTTCTCGAGCAATATCGAACATATTCTTATATACCACCAGCCTATATCTTTATGACGGATGTATATACATAAGAATGTATATAGTTTTATGAGCAATTTACGATTTACGCAAAGTATAGAAGTATATTTCTATCCCCTGTCAGACCCTACGATGATTCATACCTTGTCAAATTTATTTCCCTTCTTTCGAATGCAAAAAATAAATCACTACATATCACATAATTATATGCACTTAATTATGGAATAAATAAATGCATATAAACCTTTCCAATAATCAAATACGCGCTTAGTTGTCAAATTGCAAAAATTAAAATCCAAAGTTCACATTACATGATTCATCGATCTCCTAGTGCAGGAAAATTTAGCCTAACATGGAAAATATAAAGGAATACATGAATTTTTGACGATAAAACATCATCGGATTATAAATACGCGTGAAATCTTGATAATATTCATGAAATCCTTCGTTAATCTCCCTCAAATTAGTCTCCAAGATGCGTTTTGTTCTCCTCAAATGAGTTTTGACCCTAATTCTGATGAATCTAGGTTTTTATATCGCGTTCCTATCGAGTTCCAAAAGAGTTTTAGCATAAATAGGAAACTGCAGCGTCGATCCCCAACTTTTGCCTTTGCAGCCGCATAGGTATAAACTGCTTCGGTAGCCTCTCTCACGACCGCATAGGTATAATACATGCGGTCGCATATATCATTTTTTTTTGAAAATATTCATTTTAGTCCTTGAACTTTCCTCTCTTCCACTTTGACCTCGTTTCTTTCTTCTTCTCATTCTTTCGACCAATTTAATCCTCCAATTAGTATTTGGCTGGATCAAATCTTCGATTGGTCCTTCGGTTCAACTTTTGGATATTTGCGCTTTGATTCCTGAACTATAACTTTGATTCGTTTTGGTCCTTTTCGCTCTTTTTTCTCGTGAATTCCACCATGTCCATCAATATTCCCCACAATTCAAGAATTAAACGAATTTAAACCATAATTCAAA